ATTGCTGGTATTTAGGGAGATAGTATGCTTCTATTTACTCAACCTATAACTAAACCAAAACATACCAAATACCTGATACCAGACAATACGTCCTCCTACGACCGTGTATGAAAATACCTTCCAGATAAAGAATGATCCACCCCTGAGTCTGCCCTCGTGTTTCGTTGTGTGAAGACAACCTGTATTGTCTCCGTACGCCCCATGTCTTGGACAATTTAGCACCGCGTTCGTTTTTTACAGGGTTTGGTGCCAAGAGCAAGTAAACGGCAATGCGTCAAAATGTTTACTGTACATAAAAACAAACAAGCCCACTCCTAGGTTTTTTTTATAGGCGTCCTGTACGTTTGTGGAAGAAAAAAAGAGTGAAGAAGAAAGGGGAAAGAGGTTTGTTTGGATTTTTGACACCTTTGAACGTTGTGTACAGGCTGAAAAATAAGGGCGAAAATGGCGTAAACGAGATGTTGGATGATGAAGAGTATGGTGTTGTGGTAGTGATGGAAGAGTAAGAGGAGATCTGGATAGAAGAAAAAGATGGGAATTGTGCTCGTGAAAATGAGAAGAACGTATACGAGAGGCTAGCAAGATGATTGTCGCTTAACATGGTGTCTTCGCAGACCCTCGTCTTGTTTTTGTACTTGTGTTCTTATTGGTATATCCTCATTCAATATCGAGATGAAAGTAAAATTGAAGGCATCATTTCATAGAAAAGAATCGTTTGTACGTCAATCATCACATTACGATATGATACTCTCAGTGCGTGTTTAACCTTAGAAGCGATGTGAAACGAAATGGGGTGAGGAAGGAAGGAGAGGGGGTGCAAATAACATTTTGGGAAAAGTTACAGAATTCACCTTGATTAAACTTGGACCTCTACATGATAAGGTCCCGCGAATGAATGGTGCCCAGCACTGATACAGCAGCAATTGACGGTGGTTTTCGTTCAAGTTGTGGACGTTTGTGGTCGGATCGGTGTGGCTCTCCTTTGCTGAAGGGAATAACACACACACACACACATACACACACACA